CTTGTATTTCCACAAAATGAATCACACAGTGTCCTTCCCAATTCCCACGAACCCAGAGTAGGAAATCATACTGAGACCAGAGAGAGTGGGTGGGAAACACAAGTCAAAAACTTGCAGTGTACAAATGACCCTCTATATTTCTCAATCTATCAGAGCTTTTCATCTGGATCTATTTACTATAGAATTCCTTAAAGCAGTGAATTTCAACCCTTTTCATCTCATGGCACACATAAACTAATTATTAGAATTCTGCAGCACACCAAAAATATATATTTTTACCCATCTGACAAAAAATAGGTATAATTTTTATTCATTCACACTAGACGGCTATTGTTGTGTTGGCTGTTGTCATTTTTTAATTTGACAATCGAAGGGGAAAGAAGCCAGTGCGCCTGACTAAATAGTCAGCTATGGCACGTTTTAAAAATTCTTGCAGCACACCGGTTGAAAGTCACTGCTACAGAGGGAGATCCCGACAGCGAGAGTGACTTGCTTAAGGCTCCACAGCAAATTAGTGGTAGAACACTGCTGGGTTCCCCATCTCCCAGCTCCTGTCCTGGCCCCTGTGGCTGGGGAGTAGGCTAAATGGAGAAGAGACCCTCACCCCCACCTTACCCTCCCTCCCGCCGGTCCGCTGCCGGCCCAGCCTGGCACACTCACCTGCGTGGGCAGCCCGGCCCGGGGCTGGGAGGTCAGAAGAGCTCCCTGGGTTTGCTGAGGTAGCTGGAATAGATTTGGCGTCGGTAGCAGGCCTGGGGAGACAAGCGCCGACACACAGGGTGAGGCGGAGGGGAGTTCTGTGCGGGCAGTGGGGAGGCCACCAGGCTGGGGCCTTACCTGGCTGACTCTGCTGGGCCTGCGGCAGCAGGAACTGAGCAGGGGGCTGGAGGTGATGACCCGGCACAAGCACCAGCTGCTGGAGCTGGAGAAGCTGCTGTATGTCCTGGTGGGAGGGGGTGGACAGAAAGACAGCCTGAGTCCCCCTGCCTCACCTGAGCCCCGAGGGATGCTGCACAGGGTGGCCCGGCCCCGGGCAGTGAGGATGGAGCACAGGCATCGCTGAGCTAAGAGCACCTGGGAGGTTTGTCCCAACCCCAGGCTTCTGGAGTGTCCTCCCTGGGCCGTCCCAGGAGGGCCCACTCTTTATTTATCTTTTCTTTCTTGATTAAATATTTACCTTGTCTCACATGCCCGTGGAACAAATAGAATTGTTTAAAAATGTAAATCACACCAAGGCCTTTTAAAGCACTCCTGAGACAAACGGTATCATGTCCGGGATAAACTTTAAAATATTCCAGCACATAGAGGGCGAGGAGACTATGTGACCACTTCGGGAAACTCTTTGGCACTGTCATGGGAACTGTGTTTCCCCCAAAAAGGGTATGTTGGGATCCCCACCCCAGACCCCCAGAGTGTGACCTTACTTAGAGATAGGTCTTTGCAGGTGACCAAGTTAAAATGAGGTCACTAGGGTGGGCCCCAATCCACTGTGACTAGTTTCCATACGAAAAGGGGGAAGTTGGATGCAGAGACAGATTGCGAAGAAGGGAGCCGATGTGAAGTCACAGGGAGAAGATGGCCATTACAGGCCAGGGAGAGAGGCCTGGGACAGACCCTTCCCGCCCAGCCCCCAGAAGGCACCAGCCCTGCCAACACCTTGATTTCGGACTTGTAGCCTCCAGAACTGTAAGAGAATAAATTTCTGTTGTGTAACACACCCAACCTGTGGTTCTTCGTTACGGAAGCTCTAGCAAATGAATACAGGCGCTATTTCTAAAGCCGACTGCATGCCTGGGTATAAGCCACCACAAGTGCCTACACGTGTTCACCAAAAGAGGCGCTAGAATGTTCATGGCAGAACCATTTGAAGCAGCCCAAACCGGAAGACAGCCCAGGTGCCCGGAAGACGCGTGGATGGAGTACATAAACTAGACTCGTGGAATGCTACAGCGGTGAGAATGAGCAGTCTGCCACCTACAGGGACACACAGCAGCATAAACTTCCCACGTGTAGTGATACGTGCAAGAAGCTGGTCAGAGGCGAGAACATCCTGTTTGATTCCTTTTATGCTCCATTTGCCTGTTAGATGTTGGGAGGCAGAGACTAGAAGGAACCCCAGGGAGCTGCCATCGTCCGTTTCTAGATCTGGGTGCTAGTTAGATGGACGTGCTCAGTGAGTGAGTGCCACTGAGCTGTATGCTTATGGTCTGTGCACTTTTTGGTATTTGTTAAACTTCAACGAAAAGAATGAGGCAAGGAAAGAGGGAAAAGAAAAAAAAATCTAGCCTCTCCACCAAAAAAGTAGGAGTAAAGGTGAAGGAAGATTGGCAAGATATTGGTAGCTATTGGGCTGGGTGAAGATGTGTGTGGTTCCTTATCGCTTCTCGTTGCTTTTAGGTTTGGACATTTCCAAAAGGAAAAGCAAATCCCCTCACACACAAACGGTCCAGTGGATCCTTGCAGCCCACACCACCACCAGTGAGTTCCTCCCCTGGCCTCTCCTGAGGCCTGTCCTAGTTTTCCTGACCTCAGCTCCTACCACACGGCCTTTACACATGCTCTCCCCTCTGCTGGGCAGTTCTAGTTCCTACACTTAGTCACTCAGGTCCTAACACAAAGTCATCTCTTCAGAGAGGCCCTCCTTGGCCACTTAATCTAAACCAGCCCAGCGCTACACCTTCCTTGGTCACCTCTACTTCACCTCTCTCATTAGACTTATTATCTCAAGACTGAGGTCCCGGTGCACGGATTCGTGCACATTCAAAGGAAATTAATTAGAAGAAATATTTTAATATCACAATTTTCCCTTTCTCTATAATAAAAGTGTCAACCAAATTCACGATCCACAATGACAGATCGGAACACACGCGTGCGATTGGCGCCAGTGAGAGCTTTATATGTATCACACGTGTGTGAGTCAACTTAGCCTTTTATGTATATAGAATAAACTTGCTTAATTAGACCTGCTTTCTGATGTAGCTAAACTTTTTCCAGCCCAGTGAAGCACCCCAACATCTCTTCCAGGTAATTGTCAGCAACACAGCAGTGAATATCAACATGACGCAGATTATTATTGTAGATCACACAGGGAGAACAAAGAGTAAAATATTTAACTGCAGGAGTGTTTGACTATATTCTGCACCGTGAGAAAACCTGGAGTCATTTTCAAGGTCCACCATTTCTTACTTCTTACTTCAGGTCAAGTCGCTAAACTTTCTAAATCTTCATTTCCTGGCTAATGAAAAGAAAATAGGATTCCACCGAGTCTCCTATCTACCTACTCCATGACTTCTGTGAGGATCAAATGAGATGAGGCACGGGAAAATGCTTCACAGACATTTGGTTAAACTGTAAAATGTTTGCACCTGGCTATAAAGCAAGTCGGGTTCCTGGGCTGAAGAAACTCCAAGGAGGCTAGTCGCTAGGGAGAGGAAGCCAGGTGTTGCTACGTGACATCATTACCCGGCACCCACAGTGACCGTGTCTGGGCTGGGCTGGGCTGTGGGCCGCATATTGCACCATGGGGTCTTGGCAGCACTGGCTGCGATTTGGTGAAGTATCGCTCTGGGGTGGTGGCGGGGCCTGTGTCCCACTTGGAGGAAGCTGAGTGTTGGTTTGTTGGCTCCAGGTCCATGGTGCTGTTTTGTTTTTGTTTTATTAATGGCCAGTGAGCGTCATGGCAGCTCCTGCGTGGAGCGTCTGACCCCTGGTGGTCAGTTCGCATCATAGCTACTGGTCGGATGTACAGACACTTAACCTTTTACATAGATAGATATTTCTCCTGTTTACTCCCTCATGGTGCATCTTCCTCACTGGTACACCATCCCCAGGAGAGCGTGACCTTGACTGTTTTGGTCACCGCTGTAATCCCAGTACCTCAAATAGCACCTGGCGCCCAGTAGGTGCTCCACATTTATTTGTTAAATGAACCAAGACTGAAGTTTCATAATTTACTTAGTGACTTTTATGTATAGTTGCAAGTTACAGAGTGGGACAAAAGTAGGTTTACAGTTGTGAGTATGCCAGAGTTTACTCTTGTATTATTATTTACTAATCATTGTATTATTTTCCATACACACAACTGTAAACCTACTTTTCCCCACGCTGTATATTACTTACAGTTACAATATTTTTTTCCCTCTGAGAAACTGGGGGGATGACACATGCCCTTGATTCCTGCCAAGTTAATGTCTCAGGAAGTGAACCACTGGGGGAAAATAAAAGGAACTCAAAGCTAAGTGCTTATTTCTCTAATATATGAACAGCGATTCAAAATCAATAAGAAAAAAACCTAATGACCCAGCAGTAATACGCCAACAGACAGGTCTGGTGACTTCCCAGCAAAGCAAATACAAACAGCTCTGAATGAAAAGACATTCCAATTCACTCCCAAGAAGATAAACACAGCCACAGCCACACTGGGGCACTCTTTTTACCTATCAGATCAGCAGAGGTAACAGTGCCTGACATGCTCTGCTAGGGTGTGAGGGCAACACTTGCACACCGCTGGAGGGAGGTAATTTGGCAATGTCTATCAAAATTACAAATGCATATGCCTTAAAAAATATTTAATCCTCACCTGAGGATATGTTTTTATTTATTTTAGAGAGAAAGGAAGGGAGAAGGAGAAACATCTATGTGAGAGAGAAGCATAAATCAGCTGCCTCCTTCAACCTGGGTATGTGCCCTGACAGGGAATGGAGCCCAGGACCTTTTGGTATATGGGACAACGCTCCAACCAACTGAGCTACACTGGCCAGGAGACAATTGCACATACCCTATTTTTGGTTAATTCTTACCTGAGGAAATTTTTTCCACTAATGTTTAGAGAGAGTGGAAGGGATGGGGGGAGAGGGGAAGAGAAAGAAACATCAGTGTGAAAGAGACACATCGATTGGTTGCCTCCTGTAAGTGCCCTGACCAGGGACGGGGATCAAACCTATCTGCAACCCAGGTATGTGCCCTTGACTGGGAATTGAACCCATGACCCTTTAGTGCATGGGCCAATGCTCTAACCACTGAGCCACCACCCAGGGCCACACTCAAACTTGAGCACAATGATGTCTCTAGAAGGATATTCCCAGTAGCAAGTGGCGTTTTAGCAAAAGAGTGGGAACAAGCAGTAGGGGACAAGTGAGTCCATCGGGGTGGAGCTTTACAATGAAATATTATGCTGCCATGAAAAATAACGAGGATGCCCTTTGTGCCCTGAAATGAAACCATCTCCAAGCTGTCCGGTTGAGTAGGAAGCTCACGAGGCAGAACAGTGGGTACTGTGTGCTACTGTCTGTGTTTTTAAAAAAGCATATCTAGCCGAAACCGGTTTGGCTCAGTGGATAGAGCGTCGGCCTGCAGACCAAAAGGTCCCGGGTTCGATTCCGGTCAAGGGCATGTACCTGGGTTGCGCGCACATCCCTAGTGGGGGACGTGCAGGAGGCAGCTGATCGATGTTTCTCTCTCATCGATGTTTCTAACTCTCTATCTCTCTCCCTTCCTCTCTGTAAAACATCAATAAAATATATTTAAAAAAATAAAAATAAAATAAAAAAGCATATCTAGATATCTGCTTGGGTATACATGGATTAGATCTAGAAAACTATACACGAAACTGGCAACACCATAAACGCTCTGTGCCTCCTGAACATTTAGTTAGTCCAAATAAAGACATAAAATTGAACAGTCACTTCTGCCCAGCATCTCTGCTTCTCCAACCATTTGTCTTGTCACACTACCAGGTTCCTGTCCACCTGCCACGGCCTCTATTTCCTCCGTGTGCTTTGGAAAGTGGACGGAGTTTCCGGATGCTCCGACCTTTCACCTTTCTCACTCCTGCTGCTAATCATCCAAGACTACAGCTTAAGGGGTGTGGAGTCCTAACGCTCTATCCTTTGAAACCGTGTCTATTCTGACTTCCCGTTCTCGACCCCCATCTATAAACCTGCA